CTGCTGACAAATTCGTCCTTCCCTCGAAGGGACATACTTTGATCGACACAGATTTCGCTACTCCCGCTATAGGTTGATTGCTTTAACTTTCCCTTACCTTCTCCTAGAGCAAGTCCGAGCTGCTCTATTTCGATACTTGCAAGGTAGTTGTGAGTAGCACAGGTATCTATCATAGCCCTGATTGGCTTTCCATTGATCTTCACGTGTACATCAGGCCTTTCGCCCTACGAGTGCGAGCCTTCGATTCTTCCATTTTCGGCTCTTTCGAGGGACCATTTTCACTTTTAGTAACTCGGTGCGATAGTGTATTACACCGATGTGAGAATTCACCAACTACATCCTCATCTTCTTCGGAGTCCGTCTCGCCAGACAACTAGCTTGTGGGGTACATTGCTTTAAATTGGTTCCCCCACTTGCTAGTAGACAATTGGCATTCACCATCCATTTCTGAAGACACTTTGACACCCAATGTCGTCCTTCACATAAAAAGCATTTCAATTTGGGAGTGACATCAGATCTGCCCTCCATTGTTTTTCCTTGTTTCCAGTTGTTACTCTGATGGTTGCCTTGATAGGCTCCTCTTCGATTCTGATAGTAACACTCTCCCCCATTTGAGTTCGAGTTGGGTCTATAAGGTCTATTTCCACCTCCAATAAACTGACTATTTCCTGAAGGTCGATCCTCTCTCGATTCCGGTTGATAGTCACTTAAACATTTGGCAGCTCCTATAGCCACGCTTAAATCAGTCACCTTCTGTCTCTGAAGTTCCATGCGTGTCCATGGTTCCAACCCTTCCATGAAGGTGAATAGCTTGTCCCTTTCCGACATGTCTCGAATATTCAGCATATGCCCGGAAAAGGTTTTCACATACTCCCTGATGGAGCTTGTGTGTTTCAGTTTTCGAAGATCTAATTGCTTCCTTGAGAAGATCCCAATAATCTATTCGGACCCCGTTGGCCTGAATATCAGCATATTTCGTCCGCCACCATAGTTTCGTATCTCAACCTAGATACATGGTAGATGTTGTGACCTTTCTCGCTTCGTCTTTGATTGAAGCCGCAAGAAAGTATTGTTCCATATCGAACAAGAATTCTCAACTTCTTTAGCATCGCGTGCCCGTCCGTAGGTATACGGATCTAGAATTCTGAGCCTATGCACAGGCTCTTGTACGGTGGCTTGCCTATTGCCAACCGCCAGTTGAAGAACTAGTAATTGAGCTATCAACGCTTCTATATCATCATGCAAATAAGGGATAATAGCAACAGCTTCAGTTATTACTGTGCAAGCCATTCGGCTTTCACCTAGTTGGGTGTTTAATTCACGAATCTTCGCCTCTACCGCCTCGGCTCTTTCATCGAGACTTTTCGCGGCATAGCACAATATAGCAGTTGTTATCTCAAGCGCATCCTGGCTGTTTCGTGTTCCTCTTTTGAAGATCTACCGCCACCGTGGTGTTCGATTTCATTGGATCCATAGCTTTCTTATTGAGGGTCTTGAGCTGTAGCTCTGATACCAACTTTCACGGGTTGCCTTTCTTCTTGGCTAAGAAAGGGACACCGTGCGGCAGTAGACGTCTTTTGGCTCTGGAATCATACTTTTATTTATCACTTGGATCCATAGCTTTCTTATCGAGGGTCTTGAGACGCAGCTCTGATACCAACTTTAATGGGTTACCTTTCTTCTTAACACAGAAAGGGACACCGTGCAGCAGTAGTCTGCTCCGCTAGACTACCTTCCGCCTTCTCTCTGTCGTTTCGGGACGAAAGGAAATTTGATTACAATTTAAAGAAAGTTTGCAACATGAAATTGAAATGCATTTAACATGATTTGATCATTGATTGCTTGAAAGTTAGAAATTACAATGGTTAGTGAAGGGGGCGAATACTAGAAAGTTTGAAATATGTTTGAAACACTAATATCCCATATAATAGACTTAATAACAAAAATCCATTTGATAGGAGTAGACGTTTAAATGCTGAAGAATCATGCTAAACTTTTCTAATTTCTATCTATTTTACAATTTAAATAAACTATTACAATGTGCGGTTGAAGTTGGGCAAACTGCGGTTGCGATAGGGTCACGGGGCTTAAGTAAAGTTATAGTCCATGACACCATGCCTCTTAGCCATGGTTTGAGCCCGCTTAATGAAAGATGTGTTGATCAAATGACATCAATGAAGAATACTTACCCCTGCTTGATTTTAGATAAAAAGTTAGATTTTTAATATATGTTAATAAAAATTAATTAAATGTACAGTTTAAAAGTATTAAGTCTCATGAAATGTGTTATTAAAATTAACTATTAACTTTGACTTAAATTTAATAAATTTTTAATTGAACCAAACAAGGCCTTAATATAATGTGGCATGTGTGATGTTAAGTATTTCATATTTGTAATATGATTTTTTAAAGAATGTCGATAAAAAGTTGGAATTTTTTTTTTATTCAAGTATAAAGATCTAATTGCTTCCTTGAGAAGATCCCAATAATCTATTCGGACCCCGTTGGCCTGAATATCAGCATATTTCGTCCTCCACCATAGTTTCGTATCTCAACCTAGATACATGGTAGATGTTATGACCTTTCTCGCTTCGTCTTTGATTGAAGCCGCAAGAAAGTATTGTTCCATATCGAACAAGAAGTTCTCAACTTCTTTAGCATCGCGTGCCCCTCCGTAGGTATACGGATCTAGAATTCTAAGCCTATGCACAGGCTCTTGTACGGTGGCTTGCCCATTGCCAACCGCCAGTTGAAGAACTAGTAATTGAGCTATCAACGCTTCTATATCATCATGCAAATAAGGGATAATAGCAACAGCTTCTGTTATTGCTGTGCAAGCCATTTGGCTTTCACCTAGTTGGGTGTTTAATTCACGAATCTTTGCCTCTACCGCCTCGACTCTTTCATCAAGACTTTTCGCGGCATAGCACAATATAGCAGTTGTCATCTCAAGCGCATCCTGGCTGTTTCGTGTTCCTCTTTTGAAGATCTACCGCCACCGTGGTGTTCGATTTCATTGGATCCATAGCTTTCTTATTGAGGGTTTTGAGCTGTAGCTCTGATACCAACTTTCATGGGTTACCTTTCTTCTTAGCAAATAAAGGGACACCGTGCGGCAGTAGTCTGCTCCGCTGGACTACCTTCCGCCTAATCTGCTCCGCTAGACTACCTTCCGTGTTCTCTCTGTCGTTTCGGGACGAAAGGAAATTTGATTACAATTTAAAAAAAGTTTGCAACATGAAATTGAAATGCATTTAACATGATTTGATCATTGATTGCTTGAAAGTTAGAAATTACAATGGTTAGTGAAGATGGCGAACACTAGAAAGTTTGAAATATGTTTGAAACACTAATATCCCATATAATAGACTTAGTAACAAAAATCCATTTGATAGGAGTAGACGTTTAAATGCTGAAGAATCGTGCTAAACTTTTCTAATTTCTATCTATTTTACAATTTAAATAAACTATTACAATGTGCGGTTGAAGTTGGACAAACTGCGGTTACGATAGGGTCACGGGGCTTAAGTAAAGTTATAGTCCGTGACACCATGCCTCTTAGCCATGGTTTGAGCCCGCTTAATGAAAGATGTGTTGATCAAATGACATCAATGAAGAATACTTACCCCTGCTTGATTTTAGATAAAAAGTTAGATTTTTAATATATGTTAATAAAAGTTAATTAAATGTACAGTTTAAAAGTATTAAGTCTCATGAAATGTGTTATTAAAATTAACTATTAACTTTGACTTAAATTTAATAAATTTTCAATTGAACCAAACAAGGCCTTAATATAATGTGGCATGTGTGATGTTAAGTATTTCATATTTGTAATATGATTTTTTAAAGAATGTCGATAAAAAGTAGGAATTTTTTTTTTATTCAAGTATAAAACTATTTTATTGGAAGAATTAAAAATGGAGTAATGTTATTTAGCTCCACTAAAGTCATAACACCAATTTAGGTGGTATTAGATGATAGATTAAATGATGTGCGAAATTAAATGGCTCATTTAAACGTTGTTTGGCCCCATTATTTCACATTATAATATGACTAATAGTAATTTTTTTTTTGAAAATGTGCGGTAAAAAAAATTAAGAATTTTTGAATTTACATATAATATTATTTTATTGGAGAATGAGTTGATAAAAAGAGAGAGAAATAAATCATAATTTAATGAAGAATCATGGAGGCCAAACTGGACTAATTGTACTTATCATTTCAGGTCACATATTCACCCCATGTTATAAAACCAAATAACATTATTCTTAAATATAAATTAAAGAAAAATGAAATTCTAGAGAACGGGCCTCACACTTAATTTATGGTGGGATGGATGAAACGTGTGCTTAATAGTGTTTTTGCTGTTTGTTACATAAATACAGCACAAGAGTGAGTATAGTCTAATGTAACCTATCCAATGTACTGTTCAAATTTTTCAATACCCAATAATCGACGTATCTGGAAAAAAAAGACGGCTGAGAAAGAGAGTGAACATGATTGTCAAACAAAGTAACTAATCCAAAGAAATCGATTACATTAAGTGGTAACTACAGATGAAGACAAATCAAGTTTACTCCAAATTAGAAACCTTATCTATTAAAATATCCAACCAACAGCATTTCAAGAAAAAGCAACATATAGAATAAAGAGCACCCAATGGGAAATCCCATATTCTTTTTGACCAAACCCTAGTCCAAGATCCTCCTTTTCTTGCCCCACATATATATATAAAGAACAAACAATTTGGGCTCACATGGTTTTCTTGCTTTTCCTCAACTTCGCTTTACTTTTCAACAGTTAAAAAAAAAAGAAAAAAAACCCCAAAATTACATTCATCAAAGCAAAGAGTACCCCATTTGGATAAACTTTTACTTTAATTCTCCTTTTTACATTAACACGAGAACAAACCAATCCACCTCATACTTTAAATATCAATGTTAGTCCCATATTTTGTCGATCTTACCAATTAATAATCTGACCGTAATTGTAGAGGAATTTCAAGTTCTATATCTGTTTTTCTCTGCAGCAATAGCAAGGAGCCTCGAAACACCCTGAGTCCAAATATCGTATTCCCTCTGGTTTTTGCACTCGAATTCTACAATCCCTCGTGCCACTGTCTTCAAAGCAAAATATCGTCGATCTTCGCCACCCTCGAGCAAGTGGCGGCCCGGCCATGCCGGAATGTCCTTCAATACCTCCAGCACTACATCTGAAAATTCAAAAGAAAAGGAAAAAGATAAAGATAAAGATGCATACTTTATTAACTTTCTACAAATTGATTGCATAGTTTGCACTTTCTCAGATCCCCAGATAGAAGTCCCACCACCTTCAATCTAATCTCATCATGAGAGATGGAGAAAGACAAAAGCATAATCAACTTACTCTTTTTCTTTTTAGTGACCGTCCCAGCAACGTGTTTGCTCTTCATCTTCAGCATAACCTAAGGCAAAAAGAAAGGAATAATAAGTTGTAGATGGCAAGAAAATGTGAAAAAGCAGTCATATTGTTTCTATCATTCAGAACTTTAACTTTTCCTCTATTGCAGTTTCCATATCGTCCCTACGATTGATTGATTGATTGATTGAATAGATATTATTTTCATCAGAGTATTAATGTAAGTGCAATAATGCATCAAAGATGTTTAATTATTCAATCATGAAGAAGGAAAGCCTACCTGACACGTTTTGTTCATATAAACCGACACGATTTTCCAGTGAAGATCACCTACATTTACAGGCATAAAACTTTCAAGCAACTTAAAAACACATTGCAATTTGAATTTAATAAAAGACTTAACAGAAACAATCTAAGTAAATCTTCAGGCGAGGTTGAAGAACTTTTTGACAAAGAATAAGGTTAATGGAAAATCTCTATATAATTGTCAATTATTTATACAATTATTTTAAAGGGGAAAATTCAATTAGGATGAGTTACCATTGCGAGTTAGTTTCAGGAGCTCAGAACCTCTGGCCAGCAATTCTCTACTGCAAATTCCGAGGAAATTCTCTTCGGGAACAAGCTCGCCACTGAAACTACTGTTTGAGCTTCCATTACTGCCCCCATCACCACTTGTAGTAGCTCCCATCCCTTTATCAACAGGGATCACAGCTGCAATATTCCACACTTCCTTCAATGCCCTTGCCCTTAATGTGGCTGCACCACGCAGAGCTGCAGAATAGATCCCGTTTAGAGAACTTGAGAAAATCAACAATCGGCACGAAACATATGAATATTATCAATCTACACATTCATTAAGTTGTACCATGTCAAAACTATCAGCAGCAAGCAGAAATTTCCAGATAAATTATAAATTAACAATATGGATAATGGAATTTAATTCACCCAAATCCCCATTAAAAATCCAAGAAAGCATACCAGTAGCAGCAGCTGCTGTTAAGGTCATGATATCGCCTGCTGACCGAACATTGACAGCCGAGCTAATAACTGAAGCCAAGTGTTCGCGTTCAGCTCCCATTGACTCTGCTGCTTCAACACATTGTGCGGCCACCAAGGTCGCAGCAGATGCCACCGCCATGTCAGTTTTAGCCATCTGCTCATCCTTCCCCGCCCCAGATGATGCTGCAGTTGCAGCAGCTATGGCAGCAACAGCAGCAGCAACCCTGGCAACAGAAATGGAAGAATGGAGCTGAGCATTATGTGCTCTACTCTCCTCTTTCTTTTTCTCCTTCCTGTCTTTCAACCACCTTCCCACTGTCTTTCCACCTGCACCCACAGTGGTACCACTAGTGGCACAGCTACGGTACTGGCTATTTATGGGGTTCAGCCGACAGTACTGCAAACCCAAACCAGCATCAGCATTTATACTAACAAAATTACGCAGTAGACAGGTGTCGATGCCACAACACATCCATCATGTAAAAACCGGTAAGTGTTGCAAAATAAGCAATGGAATAAATCCAAAATCACATTTTTAGGCCAAGAATGGACCGCATACTTAGTGATTCAATTAATGTGACCCATTTTAACTCACCCCCAACAAGTATATTGGACCAGTTTCTCTAGGTACGTGATAATTTATGACCATATTCTTAAAGAAAGATGAAAGAACACTAAACTCTATTATTAGCAACGATCATTCATATATCTCCATTCTTGATAGGCAAGAGAAAGGATAAACATGTAATTCCAAATCAACCTCATTCTATCACACGTAGAGACAAGGATGTCAGTAAATCTGCAGTTATTCTGTACCAAAAGAGGAAAATTTCTATTTCTTTTTTTTTTTTTTCAACTAAAAGATGGTCACTCGGCTTTGCAAACATAAGACAACTTGACAGTATAATTAATAGAATTTGAACTCAATTAAATTAGACCTTGGGGTCATCCATTTCAGGGGGTGAGACAGGAGGGCTGTCAGTGAGAGATCCACACCCATTAAGAGGTCCACTGCTGTGGGATAGCCTTCCAGAAGTGCGTGGTGATACCTCCTGCTGTGCATTTAGAACACAACCCATATCAGCATATAAAGTTTTCCAAGTTCAAATCACATAAAGAATTTATTAATCCTGAAAAAAAAAATGAGAGAGAAAAAATGGGAGGAATGATTGTAAGTTGATAAAGATTAGAGTGCTAGTTGTCTTTTATGTGATTACTATTCTTAATTATTCGTCATGTTTTCGAAGAAAACATCAGTCTTACATAACTGTTTCGGAAATAGCTTATAGTTCCAAGAAACTCTTGGTTTTCCCATAAAACACCAAAATAATCATTTTTTACTGAGGAAAATAAGCGCAAGAATCAAGAATCAAAATAAGATAAAACTGAGGAAAATAAGCAAGAATCAAAATAAGATAAAAGCAACTTAAAACTTTTAAATTTCAAGGATAAAGAACAAAAAACAGGCAAATGAGAATAAGTTAAAACTAGTCAAAGCAATTCCACAAAGAGAGAGAAGCAGATTGAATGTGGACAAAAATAAGCTATTTTTTGTCGTCAATTTGTTATCAAATTGAGTATTAACTTACAGATTGAGACATAATGCGTTCCATGACAAACTGTGAAGTTTCAGAAGAAGCAAAGGAAAAAGGGTTCCCGGAAACAGCAGCCTCCAACTCGCCGGAGAAATCTTCATGAATGGTTTCGCCGCTGCCTCCAGGTGGAGGAGCGCCACCATTTGTGGTATTCTTGCCTACTAGGTTCAGTGGAGGAGCAAGAGCTTTAGAGATTTCATGAGCTGAAACACTCCATGAACGGGATAAGAACTCCATCGGCTCTCTCGGAGTCTCCGGCGGCCGGAACAGGGACCGAAGTTTAGCCTGTTCCATTTCTTTGGTGGAGTGAAACTGTGGAACTGGGGTTATGGGGGGAAGAGGTGTATTAGAAAGGTTGAGGGGGTGAGTTGGTTCTCTATAGAGTATCTATAGAGAGAGAAATCAGCGTGTGTTCGTGCGCGCGTGTGCTTGTGTGAGACAGATGTCAGTGTCCACCAAAGGCTTTATGTTGAGGATTACGTAATACAGTGAAAATACGAAATTAAATCTACAACTTGCTTGTACATTGTTTTTAGAATGTTGATAATTCACAACTTTATGCTCACCTATTTCAAAAATTATTTTCTAATTAGAGAGGGCTGTAAAAATTAAAATCATCTAATGACTGTCAGTATAGCAGTTTTCTCTAAATAATTGGTTAGACAATTGTACAAATATGTTAATTCTTAAACCTATCAACTTATCATCTCAAAAATATTTGTCAAACAAGGACTTATATTTAACAATTTAAGTCTTGATTTATTTTTTTTTGGTCAATATTCGGACGGATTTTCAAACATTGTGTGACAATCCAGTGTTAATGTCAAATGTAAAAGGAATATGCCATTTGTACATATTTGTCTTGTTGTAAAAAAGTGATTGAATGGAAAACTGTTAAATCATGTGGCAAAGTGTCAAGAATGATTGAATGTTAAAATTTGATAGCAATATAATCAAGTTGAGGCAATAAAATTTGAAATTAACATATTAATTTCAAATTTATGATCACGACATAATTATGCGGTTTATTTATCTGAAAAATTAGTTCTAGTTGGGAATTGGAATGTTACGTTTAGTTTAGTTACAGAATTAACATAAAAACTAACATTAAAAATAAATTGAAATTCAGAATCACAAATTAAAGCTTGACCTAATTAAGATTTTATTGAAAGTTCAATAACCAAAATTGAAATTAATGTAAGGGTGCTAAATGGGTTCGTCTATCGATCGGCCTTTCTCAATATGCTGGGCAAGCTAGCTCACGATTGCCCCTGGGGCGAGCCAAGCGTGAGCCAATTCAACCCAAGAAACATGGGTTGTGCTCAACTTGGCTCGATACACTCACGACTCATCAAGTTTAATTTTTATTAACAAAAAAAAAATTGCATTTATGCTTCTCAAAATATAATGAAGACGTAAAATTGTAAAAAATATATGAACATAAGAAATTATGTATTTATAAAATCCTCCTCATTTATCTAGGTTTGAGACAATTACAATAAGTAGGCATAATTAAAATTATCGAATGAATATTTCGTGTACAATTTTTCAAAATAAATAAATAAAATATAGCCTCTGTTTGGTTATCATTGTTTCGAACATTTTTTTCTCAATCTATTTTCAACCACACATTTTTCAATAAAATATTTTGAAGGTAAACTTAAATTATTTTTTTCCTATTTTTAAACCACACATTATTCAACAATTCATTATTACAAAACTTATTTTATCAAATAATGTCCATCAAACATGACCATAATAATGTTTAGAAAATGAAATATATTACAATTCTACCTTTGCAGTATGCAATTGTACATATAAAAAAATGGTGGAAGGCCACCTTCATCTTCTTGAAGGCATTGGAGGATATATACACGTGCTTTTTATCCGGGTTGTAATGTTGCCTAGGACGTGGGATGCATCTCTATCTAACATATGATCTCCCATGATAAATCTTACGTCTGTAAGTATTGATAAAGCCGCGGATGTTCTAAACAAATTTCAGGCTATACTTGACATTATCGGATTATGATAAGGGTAATCATATTACCACTACAAATTTTAATTACTATACCACATTATAATTACACAACAATTAAAATATATTTTTAATAAATACACCACAACAAATTTACAATTATACTCCTAATTCAATAAAAACAAAAAAATTGAAAAAATGAATACAATATTGTGGTGTACTTATCACCCCAATATTAATCCTCATTTTTCTCAACCTTTCCCCTCATTCTGGTTTTTTTGAAAGCAAATACATTTAATTTCTAAAAGAATGCTTCAAGAAGACGTTCACTCGAAAATGAGAGTGTCTAGATGTTATCTTCCTAATTATGACAGTTTTGATGAGTTAATTCAAAATGGAACTCAAGATTGGGGTAAATAGAATAGACTTGCACGCAACAGACAAATAAATTGAAAAAATTAATCAATAAATCGTGGTCAAATATAGTATAAATGCATTTACCATGAGGAAAAAAATTATATTAAAATCCTAATTTTACCTAAGGATATTTAAGTAAATAAAAAAATAGTGGTGTACTTAATAAAATTTGTAGTGGTAATATAATTACCCTTGTGATAATGCTATGCATCCCATCATTAAAATATATTGAAGAAGTCAGCCCCTACTAATGTCTTCCCCTATGTTGGTGATCCAAGTGTATTCCTCGTAGATTTTGAACTCGAAAAAATTTAAATCTATGCAAGTCAAACCAGAATATAAATCATACAAAGAAATGTACTTTTCTTAGGGCATTGATATAACACTCAAGTGGGGCTACTTGTTTTTTCTGAACACTTTGCTATTCCCTTTAGAGTTTGGAACTTAATACACACATATGGTGGATTGATGTTTTTGCCTTCAGCTGTTTTAAGGCAAGTCTTCCAAAAATCCCGTTGTAATCAAAACTAATGTCAATGATAAGGAAATCCATGTAACTTTGGAACATATGTCCTCATGGGACTAAATTGTCCCCGATATAACCATACAAAGGCCCTGCCATGGGTATCCAGCGATGTTCAACTTGCATTTGATCAAGTGCGCTATTAAATAAAATATTCACAAAGCTCTCGTTATCTACGAGCATACGATTAAGACCATTTTGGGCTATTATCTCTCGTACAACTAAGACATCACAGTGCTCATATGTGACTCCCTGCTCATCATTATCAAATATAATTGAAAGAGATTTAGTTTTAGGATTACCTTGAATCCAATAACTTTTCAAAGTAGGCCTTTTAGTGGCTCTGGCATAATTGCCTTGTGCATTTATCGTCTCCTCGCGAACATACGGTCCACCGATTATGGTTTCAATCTCCTTTACTGGAGGTTGATGATTTGGAACGTTTAAAGTATTGAGAAATAAAACGATCGAGATAATATATATAACATGATATGAAGTATTTGATCGCCGACAAAAAACAAGATCAAAGGCAAAATAATTAATTGGTAGAAGAACATAGTATTTTATTCAATTGACTAATATGGTAAAAACAAATACAATAATTGTGCTTACATAATTATTCTATATTTCAGTAATACAAAACTTGTAAAAAGAGTCTAATATTTATAAGGGTGGATATAAAACCTTAGAAATACCAAAAAGATGGAAACAAGATAAAAAAATCACGTGAAATAAAATAAACAATATTTTTCCAATATTGTTCTAATAAAAATACGTGCAAAGAAGGAAAAAATATTTTCTCAAAAAATCCAACTTATTTGGATTAAAAAAATCCAACAAGCTCCACATTGACACAAATTTCAATGCAACGAACGAAACTCCAAGATTTCTCCACCTGAAAAAATAAGACTGCAACGAAAAATTTGAACGCTTCAACAAGAACCAAACTTTCTCCAACACAAAAATACTCTTCCTCTTTTTCTGTATCCAACACAAATACATAAACCTAAACATCGGATTCCCCAAAATTTACAAAGAATTAGAAATTACCAAACAATATCAAAGAACACCATGTAGAAGAATCAACTCCCAATGCTTTCATAGAAGGCCCCGGCTAGTCTCAACACCTTCTAAAACACTAAAAGCACGTACAACCAAATCAGCATCCATGTACCTATCTCCAATGGGTCTATCCCTAACAATTGAATACGATGGAACTATTGGCAATTGTGACAAAGCGGAATTACACATATCTTCCAAACTCGACTGGGTAGTATTCTTCAATATGGACTGAAAGTTACGCAGTTCGACCCTAACAATACCTAGAGGTGGGTGAATAAGTATATTATGCGTAATTAAAAATATTTTACGAATGAAATAGCAACAAATCACTTTTTAATTATTCTCTAGATGATTAAACATGCAAGTTATTTTAGTCCTAAATTTGAATACTACAATTTATATGATCAATCAATAAATAATAACGAAAGCAGTAAATCAAAACCAAGATGATCACGGAGAAACCCAACTGGAAAAACTTTGGGTACTTTACCAGTCAACAATCCACTATAAACTATTTGGACAACTTACAGTCTATCAGGCTAGACGATCCATTCTATCTGATTACTCGACTGCACTCTCTACAGTTCTCCCTGGATCCCGTGCTCCCCTGCACCAATCCTTAGCTGATGTTGCCAAAACTCTCCTTGGAATCTGCTACCTTACAGCACTTCTAGCCTTGTGGAATAGTCTATTTCCCATGGATCAACAAAGAGCACATCGTTCTTCACAGACTGGAACTCCAGTCAAACTTTCTCGATCTTCAGAACTCTGACAAGATGTAGAGGAAAGAAAGTTTGGTATTTGGATTATAGAACTGATGTTTTTCTCACCAAAACAAACAAAGTAGATGAAAGTTGAAAGAATGAATCGAATGAATCTCTCACAGATGTAGCTCTCTCAATGTTCAACCTCACAAATTTTCATACAAAAGTATTTTAGTATATATAGGTAGGTTAGAAAAATGAATGGGCTAGGGAAAAAGCATTTAAATCACCAAATAAATATTTCCCAGATAGACTGTCGCTAGAGCGAGGGCTCAGCAACATCGAGTGACAGAATGTCGCTCGAGTAAAGTAGGGGCGACGGTCTAGCAACAATGTTTCTACTTTTGTAGATCGAGCCAAACTTTGGCGACAGTCAAGCGAAAATTCGCGTTGTTTTCCTCTTTTTGTCATTCTCGAACCCTATACATAATGACCATATTTTCAACTATTTGCACATTACTCATTGACTTTTTAAATATAGTACAATTCAATCATTTTGTTTATAGAATCGCTAATTACAAAACATTGAAAGCCTAACATGGACCTTGAA